AGGAACTAAAACCTTACGTAGAACCGCTTGCCTCCTAGGTTACCGTACCGTACCGCGCTAAGAGGAGGGCGGCATGTCCGAGACGGAGAGAAAGTGGGACGCCTTCCGTGGTCGCTATCGCAGTATTTTCCGGACCATAGCCCGGAAGCATCCCGGATTTTGGGCCGGAGCGGGGGACGTTTGGAAGACCCACCGGAGGGAGACGACCACCACACGAGGGGCCCTCGTCCGGGAAATCCCTCTGATGGTGGACGCCGCCACCCAGACGGTTCCCCCACCCCGCGTCGTGCAATATGTGCAGACGCAGACGGAGGGGTGGTGGGACCTCTGGGATGACTTGTTGGTGCAGGCGAGGGAGGAGGCCGGGCGAGAGATGAGGGGGAGCCGCTTGCCGGTCCGCGAAGAGCCTGGACCCCGACCCGCGGCTGGATCCACCTCGGGGGCCGGCGGATCGCGAGGGGGGACGCCCGGAGCTCGGAGGCCGCGGTCTCGAGGCCGCGCTGAGGGCTGCTGGAATTGTGGCAGCCCCGGGCACCGATACTCCGCGTGCCCTGATAGCCGCGGGGAAGAATTTTGTTATCGGTGCGGAGAACGGGGAGCGACCCTCCGGGACTGCCCGCGTTGCCGGGAGGAGTGGCGAAGAAGCGGTTAGAGGGCCGCTCGGCCGGAGAAGGCCACTCCCGCGTACCGCTCCCGAAAGGAAGACATAATGTATCGGGAATTTTTTTTTTTGGTGTCGGGGTTTCTTTTTTTGAGAGGGGGTCTTGCAATTTTTTTTTGTTGATTAATAAAGGGAAAAGAGGCCTAGAGTAGTGTCGCCCTTTCTCTTTCCTACCCCCTTCCGTTCCTTTTTTTTTTTCTCTGGTTTTTTTTGTATGCGAATCCGCGGAAGGCGGGGAAGGCCCCGCCGGTCGTTCGCAATTCCGCCCCCGCGTGCCGTGTCGAGACTCACGAGAGAGACCGAGGGTGAAGCAGGTGGATAGTCAGCGGCGGACAGCGGGCACAAGACCTTGCAGGTCTTCGTCGGGGAGGGGGGAGTTGTGACGTGGCAGCCGGAAAGGCGCCCGTCACAGGCCGACCTTTCGGCCCTTAGGCGAGATTCTCGGGGGGGGGGGGTGTCGCCTTGCGCTCTCCCCCGTAATAATTAGTGTTAGTAGTCGGAGCGCGCAGGTGGAACGGTCCCGCGTCCCCGAGCTCTGTGCCCCTGGACCTCCTGCGCCGCCCATCAGGAGCGGAGGGATCGGTGGAGGAAGGAAGAGGACGACCCCCCTCGGCAAGACCGCCACCCCAGGTGAATGCACTCCTTTAATAATACTAGTATCGGTTTCGTATCGTCGTGAAAGGTTCTCGCTGTCGCTTCCGTTGTCCACAGGCCTGCAAGGATCGCGCCGAACGGTCGGCGTTCCCGTGCTTGGCGCGTGAACGCCGGCTAGACAGAGCCAACCTGAACACGGAGATCGGGCGAGTGTGAGCAAGAGAGAGAGAGAGAACGAGCAAGAGAGTGAGACCGAGCACCCGTCCCGCGGATCGAAAAACAAAGATCCGCGGAAGGATTCCCGTATAGGGAGATTTACCGAGGAACGGGGAAAGACAGGTAGCACGAGACAAACAAACGGACAAGAAAGCCTGTCGGGAGGAGAAAATAAAAAGAGGAGACTCCCATTGTCTCTCTCTCTAATATCGCCGACCTGCTTCCGAATAGTAGCGGAGAGATATCGACTACCGCACCAGAGAATACAAACAAGGAAATTAGTGAAGTTTTTGGCGTCAGCAAGCGGAGGGCTCCGAACGTACAGCTCGCCTGGAAGGGGACGTCAGCGACAGCGTGTGCCAGAGCGAGCGTGGGAGAGAGAGGAGAGGAGAACTACGTCGCCGGGAGGTCCCCGATTTTGTAAGACCTTCCACCTGCATTATTGTTTCGGTGTCGTGCGCGTAAAAGGTCTCGTCAAAGTTATCGGCGTAGCGAACAATCTCGAATTCGCGAGAGCCCAAGCGGAGTATATCGTATCGAGGGGTCGGACCGTTCCGATTCCCGAAACAATAAAGATAAAGATAGTCGAAACGCGCCTCGTTATTCCTGTGCTTTCCCGGTCATTCCCGACTTCCGACGAACCCTTCCCGTCTATCGACTAAAATATCGCAGAGCTACCGGTCCCGCCGACTTCGCGTGTCTCGGCCCTTGGGTGAGGTGTCGCGTAGCGTTGGTGAACGGTGCAGCCCGCTGCACCTGGCGCCCAACCGATTTCGTGAGGGTCAGGTTGGCCGAGACGCGCGGACCGACGGCAGTTTGCCGACGGCGAGCGATAATCGCGTCGCAACATATATATGTGGATGGGGAAGGATGCACTTCATGAAATGATTTATATTATTCCAGCTTTTATAATGAATAATGTCAAGATCTTGTCGTTATTAAGAATATACTTTCGTCTAAATAAACAATAAGATTGTAAAAGTATTATTAATCTGAAACTTTAGTAACTTAATTGTTTAATATAGAATAGTCTTTAAGGATAATGGTAATGGCAGAACGCGGTATATTTTATATATGCAAGTGCAGGTTACAGTGGATACAGTGGGAATATTATATCAAGTACATAATATACATGAAATTATAAAGGCATATAAATGTCTTATAACTAAAATAGCTAATGAGAGAGATAGATAGAAGGCTAACATGAAGGAACGTCTCTGTGAGTCCTTGTTATGAGATAGTTGTAGTTTTTATTTTATTCAATGTCTATTAACGAGGTGAAGGCCTAGGAGGTGGGAGTAAGCAGATTTTCAAAGTAGAGTCTCCGGCGTAAGGAGTTCGCCTGGAGACGATGTCAGAGTGGTGGGATGCCACTGCTGATAAGGATTCTGACTATACCAATACGGCTCTGTGCTTGGCACCGATGCCGTGCGCGCGTGACCCTGTGCTTGGCACCGATGTCATGCGCCCGCAAGGAGGAATGGAAAGAGAATAATAAGTGTGTGAGCGTAGTTCACTGCGTTGACAGACACTGGGGTTTCGTAATCACGATTTAGAAAAAGAAGAATCTGAAGAATGTCTCTCTCTCTATCTCTTTATATATATACTAGCTTGTATAGCGTATCCTAAGGAAATCGGAACGAAATTCTAAGAGCGGTTTGACAAACTAAACGTAGATAATACACTATTCGGATTATAATGAATGGTCCTTATGTAAGGCAGTTACGTACCGACATGAACGAAAATTTCAGCGTGACGCTATGGTATCTGTTAAATAATTCAACTTGGCGTATGATGAAATGTCACTGGTTCACTCACGTAACAATGTTCCTAAGGCTTAGATCGCGATTGTATTTCACTTGCGCGAAACGCGGTGTATGTGAGTGTTGTGCATTAAAATATTATATACTTACTATTTATTTCAGTAGCTCAGACTTTTGCAGAGAAATCTCAAAGAACAGGCTTTTTTATTCCAGAATACTCTCAATACTGTTGGGACCACTCTAGCCACGGCACAACTCGAGCGGGGAGTCGACTTATCCGCACACTTTGAGTATTATAAAACACCGTGGATGTTCTGACAAGTTTCCTAAGAAATCTTCCAGATTTTGAATAGTACAAGGCAAAGGCTCTGAAGGAGCTTAGGAAGAGGCTCTTATGCGAGACGACCGTTGTCCGTGGTGGCACGGTCGCTCAGAGACACTTTTCTTCTTTGCGTCAAATTAACAATGATGTCTTGGAGGCACTCCTAAGAGGCACGTCTGTACCGTATGAACTTCCGATGTCGACTCTGCGGTGGGAGCTGCTCCTGGGGCCTCGTTCGGTCCGGACAATGGAACTCAAGAGTGGGGTAGGCTATATGGTAGGAGTAATGGGATTATAAGAGAGGGATTCAGAGTAGGAGCGTTCAAGGTTTTTCAGAATGGGACTGAGTGGCGTGATGCTGACGGGGCATCGAGAAATCTCGGCGCGCCGCCGGATGTGATAAGGAGCGTGGTCAACGGGATGCCCTATATTACCTGATGTGGGCTCAGGTTACTCGGGGATTCCAGAGTACCCTTGGTGGCCCGGCTGCGTGCGTGCCTTATCTTTGAGACTTCCTGTCGCCAGTCTGACTTATTAATTTATATGTGCGCGTAATTATTTATGCCTTATAATATTATAATATTATAATAAAAATGGTTAATATTATATATGTGTGGTTCTTAAGGTTATCATATACGCCTAATTTAGTATTATATGAATAGTGTAATAGAAAGTTATAATGTTAATTAGTTATGATTTTTATAAAGACAATATGCATGTGTTATAATAAAAGAGATATTTGTTATTAATGTTTAAATGTGGTTATTAAGAATTATTATAAGAAATGCATATTGTTAACAGTGGGTATTCGAGTGTAGAGATTTATAATATTGTATACTGGAAAAATAGGATTCCTTATTACAGGGATCCTTATTATTACTGTTGTTAAATTAATGTTTCTCGGCAAGGCTGAGTTCTACCATAGGGCTCTCTACTTACGTATGTCGGTAAGGTAGGCCCCTTGGGTAGGTTTCGTTATTATTGGCGTCAGTAATTAATTAACAATTATTATAGACGGTTCCTATGTATAAGTTACCGGCTTTTGGACCTTATAGAAGCTTATGATAATAGAAGATTCGATGAACAATTAATTTTTATTATTAGTGATGAGTTCAAGCCGTTGTACTGTACGAACGAATTTAAAAGAGTGCAGTATTTAAGAGGAGCTTGAACGTGGACAGAAGGCTTAAATTAAATTAAATAAAGTATTTAAACGTGACCAAGCCAAAAATGGTGGATTTCCAAGCTAAGTAAAGTATTTAAGCGACCCCTGAACTTAAATAAATGAGGTTTATTAAATTTTAAGTAATAATTACCAAATTTTGAGAATGTACTATCAGAAGGATTCTCTGTCTGTGGGCAGGAATTAATTGTTATCGTATGGCATTATTTCCTTTTGTAATTAATATTCTGAGGTTTTGACATTTGCTTATGTTTCACTAAGATGTTCTCTAGGTACGTAGGTGTTAAAAATATTTTAAATTGACTTTTCTTAATTTTTACGGCAGGTACGCATTACTGGCGTCCCAATAGTCCTTGCGTATGAATTTTAGAATTTTCTGAAGTCTATTGGTAAGTAACATTGTTGGTTTCTTATTAATTGTTAATGTTTTTCAAAATGTTAGTATGGTCGTTAAATAGAGGTCTTTTAATGCTATTGTTAGCAATTAAGATTTTTCTTCTAGGCCTTATAGTTACTGAGAAAAACATGCCTTTTCCTGATTGGCCGAGACATTCAAATGGCCGTAACTTCTAAACTATTGATCTTATAGAAATTTTATTACGACATAATTTGTAATACTTTGAATGAGCCTTAAATCGCACTGCGCGATTTTCTAAAATTATTATTATTTTAAAAGATATGAACTTTTATCGATAAATTTTTATAGTAACAATTACTTTTGATGGTTGAATCTACTTATATGTCTCGCTGACCTTTTGATGTAGAGGCGAAGAAATGATATGGTGGAGAGAACGTCGCAGGACGTTACAGGGACAGGGAGCGCGGCGTCTTGGCCCAGGCAGTGGGGTGCGGAAATGACGAGCTATCGCTCCCGCGCATGGCAAGGGCCATGTCCGGGAGCTAGGAGATATGGGGAGCCTCCTTCTGCCGCAGCGTGCTGTTGCGGAAGAAGCCGCCGAGTGGGAGCGTCGCCCCGGAGACCGCCGCAGGCAGCGGCGGGGAGGGCGGCGCTCCCAAGTTTGGGCAGCGGGCTCGAGGGGGCGCCGGCCGAGGAGGAGGACAGACCAACGGTTCGACGGAGGCCGTCTCTCCGGCCGCCTCGGGCCCGACTCAGCACGCGCGGGGAGATGGGGATGACGGGTGCGCGTGACACCCACCCGCCTACCCCCTAGAGCGTCGGTTAGGGTAGGGTAGAGCGGGGAGAGGAAGCCCGGGTGGGGCTGGACTCCACTCTCCAGTCCCCCTTAGAGGGGAATAATGGAGGGCGCGAGGAGGGGCGACTGTCCCCTTCACCCCAAGTTAAACACCAGAAGGCCAACCCGGCCGGGAAACCGGTCGGAGGACCGCGCCCTGGACTCCCTCAGTGAGACAGGGTGCGGTACTCGATGGCGTAGGTCTCCCAGAGAGCTCTGGGGCCGGGGTGTCGGGGAGGGAATGCGGGAGCAGTTCCCCTGACTCCCCCCACCACGGTCCGAATGGTAGACATCCCGCAGGGGTTTTAGTCAGTAAGAGTCTGACGTAACCCGCGACCCCCCAATGGGTCGGGGTATCCATGATGGATTTCCTCTGTGTTACAAAAAATGGCCATACCCCCTTTCCAGTAAGAAAGGGGGCATATGCGCGAAGGGGTAGGTGGTATGAGCGCGGGCGGGACATAGGAGAGGGCTGCTGGGAAACTGGTTGTCCTCTCAGATGTCATGCTGTCCCGAGGTTCCAAAATCCGGATGGAACCTAGGGACCCGAAGAGAGAGAGATTTGTCTCTGTTCCCAGGGCCTTTTTTTGGTAACGCAGGGAAAATCCATCATGGATACCACCGACCCGTTGGGGGTGTCGGGGTTATGTCAGACTGTAACGGCTGAACTCCGCGGTTCGGTCGCTGCTACGCGTTTCGCGCGGATAATGCTCGTCGGAGTCCGGATTCGAGGGGGAGTAAAGCAGCGAGACACTTGACAATGGCAATCGAAATAACTTTAGCTTTATTGTATGCTTACTGGGATACAAGAGTTCGGCCCCGAAGGCGGTGTCGCGGGTTGCATCTATAAGGCGCGTCGGTACGGTACGGTGCAGTGCGGTGAGCGGTACAAGCGCTCGTACGGACGAATAGGCCGTGCGGAAGGCGGGGCCTATTGCGCGACTCGTGTAGACGGTAACGACGGTAACGGCGCGGTGATCGGTCTCGCTTCGCGACGCTGGGCGTCTCGGACAATTATCGCCCAATATTCGTCTCGCAATCGCTCGCGTATAGATGGTCGCCGGACCGGAGATTTCGATTCTCGGTCGAACGTACGCATGCGAGTCGCGGGATACGCGAAATGATTTCGTCCGTCGGGGCCGAGGACTCTCGACAGAAAAGGCGTACGCACCTTCCCTTTCCCCTACGTTCGCGGAGGAAAGCGACCAAGTGCTGCGGACACTCAGCGGAGACGGCGGACACACCGTCCCGGGTTCTTGGTCGCTGGACGGATCGCCTAAAGGCTGAGTACGCTCAGCGGAGTTCGCCGACGGACGAAATCATTTCGTCGGACGAACCTCTGACTCAAGTCGGCGGGTAAAAGCGAGAGACTGTCGAGTACGCTCGACTGAGCACGTGCACGCACGAGCCCAGGAAGACGGGAGACGGCCAAGTATGGAGTACGCTCGATCGAGACTGCGGACGCACAATCCCGTTTGCTTAGTCGCCGCTCGGGTAGTCGGAAGGCAGAGCGAAACGGTCCGGATATTCTCTTTTTCGGCATGAAGCCGAAAAAGTCTAGATCGAATCGGCGGTACGGATCGGTCTGGTGTCTAGAAGCTAGATCGCCGCCGTTTTATAGTTGATCGCGCTACGATTGATACGGCAGCGATCGAGCGGCGCGCCTATCGGCGCGAGGCACGGTGACGGCGCATAATCGCGGCCGCGCGCGCTAGCGGCAGCGCGTGATCGCCGCGGCGCGCGATAGCGACGGCGCGTGATAGCGGCGGCGCGATCGTTTCGGTACTTTAGGGTGGCGCAAAGCGCCGTTCTTCGGCCCGACAGGTGGTCGGTCGGGCCGGTAGTAACGAGGTGCATCTGCGCCTCGTTACAAGACTCTTACTGACTAAAACCCTTGCGGGATGTCTACTATTCGGACCGTTGTGAGGGGAGTTAGCGGAACTGCTCCCGCATTCCCTCCCCATGTTCCCAGGGCCTCTACAAATAAGGCGACGACTAACATCGCAGTTGCCACCACCAGGACAGATGTCAGGAAGGCAACCATCACCGTTGCCACCAACAGCAGGACCGGGGCTGGCACGGATATCCGTGTCAACACTGCGATCTCAGGGACGAAAAGGAGGGCACCAACGAGTGCAAGCTCGAACTCAACTCTTGAGACGGAATCGAAACAGCCCTCCAACATACCGATACTGGTATGGGATAGAGACCCAAAGAGGAGGCCAGCCACAACTGGCAAGGAAGTAGGCTTCAGATTAAAGAGAGAGGCAGAGGCAAAGAGGAAAAAGGAGGAGGCGATAAACTGCCTCGAGAGAGAGGTGGAGGACCTCCGGGGGGGCATTTTTCGCTTGATAAGAGACAAGCGCCCCCTCGAGGAGGTGTTCAAGGACACAACATCGATGGCGTTGTTGAGGGAGGCTGGGTCGACAGAGCTGACCTCGGAGGCAGGCCGTGCCATCGGCGCGGTTCGGCTGGTGGCACGAGGGTCAAAGATGCCCAAGGGGACTTTCGTGTTATTGCTGAATCGCGCCGCAGCGGCCTCCGAGGCGGTTCTGTTGACCCTTATCGCGAGGGTTGCGGCGCAAGATGGCGGGCAGTTGGCCATCACGGAGATCAGCAGGGAGATGGAGGAATTGCGGGAGGAGCTTAGAGCTTTAAGGGTGGAGAACTGGCGGCTCCAAGAGGAGCAGAATGCGGCCAAGTTGGCTGCTGTCGGTCCCCCCTTACTCCCGCTCCTCCATCTTTCCCTGTTAGGAGAACATATACACAGGTAACTGCAGGCGAGGACACCTTGGTAGCGGACACAGAAATGGCCGGAACATCCAGGTCCCGAAAGAAGAGGAAGACGATGAGGAGGAGGGTGACTAAGAGCCCGCCCCGGGAGTCTTCCAGTTTGGAGGAAGAGAGAGGAGAGGCTGTCGGAGAAATAAAAGTTTATGACGATAACCTCGACTTATATAGAAGAGAGGAGGCCACTACTCTGGTGGCGGCTTACAGGCCACCCAAGTGAGTAACATAGAAGCTTGATGACTCCCTGGCCATCAGCCACCTAGACTTGCAGGATAGGGTGACCTATGACAGGTTAAGCAGGAAGATAGACATCCATGTGGACCTGAGAGGCAGCGTGGATCCGGAGAGTGAGTAGCATGATCACCTGACGAGAGAATTCAGGAGACTGCTGGTAGAAAGGGCAAAAATCATGGAGTGCAGGAGGATAGGGGAGTTGACTCCGGGACCGACGGTGCGGGCCCCGGCTTCTGGCCCCGCCCCCTCCCGACCGAAAGGCAATTGTCAATCCAGACGGGAGAGAGGGAGGGAGAAGTCGAGGGGCGGGTGCCGGAGGCCCCGAAGACCAGGTCTCAGAAGAGAAAGAAACAAAGGGAGAGACAAAAGGAGAGACAGAAGCAGAGGGAGGCAATTTAGAGGAGTGAATCGAACCAGGTAGAGACCTGGATCCCCAGGTCCGCCGTATCAAGCCGGCGGACCTGGGGATCCCCGGATCCATCAAAGTCCGCCGGGCCCTTACGGGGGTTTTACTTATTGAGGTGCCTGGCCTCAACACCGGGGCGCCCGCCGACCGGCTTGTGGAGGAGCTCTGCAAACTGGTGGCGGAAAAGGTCCCCGAGTATCGGGTCCAGAGACCGGTGAGGACCGCAGCGTTGCGGATCACCGGCCTGAACTTGACTGTCGGGGCCCAGGAGGTGGCGGAGGCCGTGTCCCTCGCTGGGGGATGTTCGCCCATGGAAGTTTCTGTGAGCGAGCTCAGCGTGGCCCAGCGAGGAACGGCAGCAGTCGTGGTCCGGTGTCCGCAAGTGGCGGCCGCTAAGGTAGTTGCTGCAGAACGGGCCCAGGTTGACTGGACCCGCGCCAGGGTTACGGGGTTGCCTGCTCGCGCCGTGCTGTGCTACAGATGTCTGGAGCGCGGGCACGTGCGCGAGCAGTGCAGGAATGCCGTCGACCGCAGTAATACGTGCTATCGCAGCGGTAACCCCGGCCACCGTACCAAGGACTGTGAGGTGGCCTCGGCGAGATGCGCAATCTGCGCGGAGAGGGGTGGGCCGGCCAACCACAAAATTGGCGGGCCGGCCTGTAAACCCCCGAGGAACAAGAGGTGGAGGGGGATGCCGAAGGGAACCAAAGAAGAGCAGCGGATAGAGGGGAAAGCTGAGGGCCTCCCCTCTGACAGCAGGAAGGACCCTGCCCCAAAGTGGGAGGGGACCAGGCCGATCCCTTTCCCAACGAGGGATCCTGAACAAGGAGAGGGGGAGGTCAGGCGGGCCTCCCCATTTGAGATGGAGCTGAACCCACAGCCGAAGGAAGCCCGAAGCAAGCTCCGGAGCAAGGGGACACAGCCAAACCGGGGCCACGAGAGCAGAGGGCTCCGAGAAAGAGAGGGGCGACCAGCGAGGACGTCACTGTTCCAGCGGACCTGGAGATTGGAGGAGAAACGGGACCGCTGGAAGCCGAAAAGGTGAGGAAGGTAGAGCCTGCAAACTCACCCCCAACAGCCCTAGGAAAAGGGGAGTCGGGGGATGCGCCCCCTCTGACTGCCCAGCTGGTGGACCCCTCCTCATACTCCCCAGAGGAGGAGGACACCCCAGTAGGGACTCCCTGCACCTCCGCGGAAGTACCCGCAGTTGAGGCACCATAACCGAAACCCCCCAGACGGAGCCGGTAGTGGGAGTGCGATACTCGTGTCGCCTGAGGCTCCCTCTGGGGAGGTGAAGGTGGGTAGCCCGGAGGAGGGACCGGGAGCCTAGCTTTCACGCCTCTTCTCCGGGTCCTACAGGCCAACCTCGGTCGCGGCCACCGGATCCAGGACCTATTGGTCCATGGGCTAATAGAACTGGCGGCCGGGCTGGAGGTAGTCACCGAGCCGTCCTGGATCCCGGTAAACAATCCCGAATTGTTCGGGAGTCGGTACGGCTTGGTGGCCATGATGGCACATCCCGCCTCGGGGTCTCCTCCCTGTAAACACAGGAAACAGGGGACCTCGTACATGTCGGTTGACTGGGGGTCCGTAACAGTGGTGGAGGTATATCTCCCTCACTGCAGGAATAGGGCTGGCCTCGGCGAACTGCCCCCTGTTATGGGGATCCTTGACGAGGTCAAGGATGTGGTGCGGCGGTGCCATCCCCGACCCGTAGTGGTGGCTGAGACTTCAACGCCCACTCCACGGAGTGGGGTTATGGTCCCCGGCAGAGGGATCCCCGGGACGACGCACAGTGTGGCGACTAATGTAAATCACGGAACATAGCAAGTAAAAATGGAAGTTTGATTTTTAACACATTACCAATAAAGATATTTAGTAAAATACTTATAATTTCTTTTCCTCTGTCGCAATTTCCATAATAACTAACAGAATATATATACAACGCAAAATCAACAGTTCAAACTGTTACATCTTAATATGATGCTAGCAAGATGCATCATCCGAGTTAATTTCAAGTTACATATGCAATCATGTTTAGTTTAAAAATGTATTATTTCATCAGCTTTGTGTTACTATATCGAATTATTTTCTTGTATGTTTCTCCAAAAAATATCTATTTTCAACTTTATATATTATTAATTTTCAGTGGAAATTTAAAGTATATTGAAATATATTATAAATTGTTGATTATAACAAAACTCCTGTAACATCCCGTTTCATACTGAAAATTTTATGAAACTATATACCTAAGACTACATACAGGGTGTCCCATTTTAATCCGGCCGGCTGAATAAAATTTAAGGATATTTTCCAGAAAAAAATGTCAGACAAATGTTGTTCAGTTCTAAAGGGGACATTCGATGCCATCAACAATTTTGACCTCGGGTGAAGGGTTCAAAGCCATTCAAGGTCAACTCTTTTTTCTTAAATGGGAACCCCTATTTTTCACATCGGCAATCGATTCTACGTAAAAAAAATGAAACTTGTCTGAAGCATTTCTTTTATAACGCAAACTAATTTCACTTATTCAGTCTCCAAAATTGAAATTTTCAAATTTTCTGAATTATTTACTCGAGAATGGTGGGGTTTGGGGAGAAATTGCAGAAGACAAAAAGTTCTTGGAATGCTGCAAGGACTTCACTCGAATTTTCGCATAGTTGATCGTGCACTTTTTTCTGCCAATGGTTGGAAAAAATCTTTTATCTCCTCATGTCCAGTACCCTCGGCATTAGCATCACCCAATGTGCACCACGTGGAGGTCGCCGATGGGATTTTGCACATCATTGAGGGACTGAACGTCCCTGTATATCTGTTTACATCAGGTGCACCTAGATGCGCCTTTTTTTTTATTCACGCAGGGGAAATCCATTATGGATACCTCCGCCCCCTTGGGGAGGGGCGGGGGTTATGTCGGACTCTTACCGACTAAAACCCCTGCGGGATGTCTACCTGTCGGACCGTGAGGAGAGGAGTTAGGGGAACTGCTCCCGCATTCCCTCCCCAACCCCCAGCCCCAGGGCTCTATTCCAAGAGCCCCTCGCCTTCTTGTACCGCACCCCCCTTCCCCTTTCGGGGAATTAATGGGAGAGGTGCGGTCCCCGGCGGGTATCCCCGCCGGTTGGCCTTCTGGTGTCACCTTGGAGAAAGGGGATATCCACCCTTCCTCCTTATTCCCCCTCTTCCTTAAGGGAGAGGGAGGGATTTTGGGGAGGTGGGCCCGATCCCCACCTCCCCCTTTCCCCCTATTCAATCATTCAGAGAAGCGGGAGTTGCCCTCCCCGCTCCCCTCTGAATTACGGAGGCCTAGATGCGCCTTTACAAAATATTTATTGTTAAAAATGCACAAACGTATACCATGAAAGAAGGAGAAATCTCAAGCACTCGACAAAACAAATATTATATAAAAATGAGAATCAAAAATAAAATATGTCTATTAAAAAAAAAACAAGTTTTTCTTGTTTTATTTTTGTAATTTTGTTTATAACTTATTACGTTGATTTTTTCTGACTAAATCAGGAAATTATTCATATCGATAGGACTTTAGAACTACACTATATATAAAATAAGTCATGGATGAAAATTACTTATGAAGAAACTTTCTTATTTACTATATAAAATATATAATATTGTTTTATCCGAGCCACAAGGTTTGTGGCAGCGTCCGTTGTCCTTGAGCCTTAGGCATCCGATGCTGATTTTGACGTCTGAGCGAGGATTGTCCTGACGACGGAAAATCGATAAGAAGTAAACAAGAACAGCTGACAGAGAGTCTCCGGCAAGCTGTCATCGTAGACAGACGAGAGAATTCAGAATTATTAAAATAGAGAATTATTCTTGTTTGAAGTTTGAGAAAGTTGCACTGTATATAGTAAAGCTTGATATTCTTACGCGAGTGTTCTTATTTACCACTGAAAGCGCGAGTGTGAGAGTGAGCGCAACAATATGTAATAACTATGGAGTCCGTGTGTTAAAGATCTAGGACCTATTAGAGCCCATGGCTAACTCTGCTGGGATATCATTTAAATAACATGGAATCCTCTAATATGATAAAAATAAATTCGGCAGAAAAAAGTTGCAAAAAGAATTTGTTTATAACAAAATTGTTTAAACAATTTATTTAAAAAATGATTGTTTTGAAAATCTGATGCTGCCAATCGATTTCGCTTTGAAAATTAGGTCAAAAACAATCGTTTTTTAAAATAAATTATTTAAACAATTTTGTTATAAACAAATTATTTTTGCAATTTTTTTCGCCGAATTTGTTATTTTTATCACACTAGAGGACTCCATATGTCATTTAAGTAATATTCCAGCTAAGATAGCCATAGCCTTTAATGGATTAGAAGGGAGATGATTAATATCGAAAGAATATTGTCAAGTTAGAGTTAACTCTAAAGAGAAGAATCGTATGATTTTCATGCATGCTTTTATTTTCCCTAAAATATTTATACTGAGTTCCACTTAACGCTTGCAACAATCGCGGCGTCATTCTTGTTTAATATCTAGTAAGAAACAACGATAGAATGACGCCTCGATCGTTGCAAACGCTAAAGTGGAACGCACTGTTAGTATGAGACACTAACACTTCCAACGGGATAGAGTGCTTGTTTTTTGTTTCACGCCTGGTATGCTTTTTCAATCATCGGCCAATGCTGCTTATCTTCATTTATTCTTTTTTGATGTTTTTAATAGTATCATAATGACATCTGTCGAATATTATGAATTATTTTTATTCTGCAAACCCACGGAAAAATTTGAAAGATTAGAGAAGTCTTTTAAAAAATATAATAATAAGAAAAGAATTTGATTTTTCCGAAAACGTTGAGATACATTTGATTGGTTACAAAAGATTTCTTTGCATTTATATAACGATGGTATAAATCAAATCGTAAATATGATAGATTCGTAAAACAAAATGAATCCTGGTTGCGGAAACAATTTCAATTTCCCGAGAAATCTTTAAATACAAGTTCAGTAAACAGACAATTATGCCAAGCTTCAACATCAAGAAATGTAGAACAAAAACAAAAATACCGCTCACATAAACGAGAATCATTTTTAGACTTATCTGATAAACAAGAATGAAGACGTACTGCATCATTAACAACCGAAAATATCATAGATGAACTAATGTTCGTTCTAAAAGAAAAAATGCAAGCTTCAAGCAATATAGATGGAGCTATCATTTTATCTTTTCTGATAGAACATCCCGATGAAACATCGAGATTCAGAGCTTTCTGCGAACGTAAGAAAGTTGAAAATAAAATGCTTTCACAACAAGCTTTAGCGTTAATGTTAAATTTAGGACTGTCTATATCAGCATATGAAGAATTAAGAAATATTTCCAACATATAAGGCATTAAGCAGTATCCTTCATATTATCAAATTCGCTTAGCGAAGAAAGATTGTTACCCGTCAAAGGAAACAATAAGAATATCAGAAACTTATACTTCAATAAAATTACAGGCTCTTCTTGATATTACATTTTCTAGATTAGTTGAAGCTCGTAATATTAACACACACCAGAATTTAAAATTAATATCAAAATGGGGATTTGATGGTACGACTTGTCAAAGCCTGTACAAACAAGCATTTGCAGATGTGCCCACTGATATTAATAAACCCAGAGATGACTCGATTTTTGCTACATACTTAGTCCCTTTGAGATTGGTCAGTGATTTCACTATTATTTGGGAAAACGTGAAACTATCTTCAACAAAATATTGTCGGCCTGTTAGATTCGAATTTATAAAGGAGAATAATGAAATCATTCTCAAAGAAAATCAAAGAATGATAAATGAAATTAACAGTTTAATTCCAAGTACCTATAAAGATATGTCTGTACAACACAAATTAATACAAACTATGGTGGACGGTAAAGTTACATCTTCATTAACAGAGTCTTCATCTATGTCGTGTTTTATATGCATAATAGTATAAGTCCAAAAGATATGAATAATTTTGATTTAACTCGGCAAAAGAAAATAAAAAGCATTGAATATTATAAATTTGAAATGTCGATCCTTCATGCATGGATTCGATCTATGGAGCTTTTGTTACACATTGCCTACAATTTGGAACTTAAAAAGTGGTTAGTTCGCGATTCGAAGGAAAAACTTCGTAGGGGAGAACATATTAGGTGCGCAACTAAGTTCCTGCTGTTTCTCAAGAGATGGCTCCAATAGTAAGTGCTGGTCGATTGTGACATAACCAAAACGTCATGAACCAAGCTTAGACATATGGTAAACAAACCGCTTTGACACATTAGTGATTTTGTTTTCATATACTTTTGGTTGTGTGAAAATGTCTTATTTTGTGCCAAATAATCGTCATTTGCGGGAAGTGTTGCTTTTCTTCTTTCATTCGAAGAAAACGGCGGCTGAAGCGCATCGAGAACTCCAAAAAGTTTACGGAGATGCTGCTCTAAGTGAAACAACGTGCCGTGATTGGTTCCGTCGCTTCAAAGACGGTGATTTCGATGTTGACGACCGTTCGCGTGAAGGAAGGCCAAAAACCTTCGAAGACGCTGAATTGGAGGCATTGCTCGATGAGGATCCGTGCCAAACGCAAAAAGAGCCTGCTTCAGCATTAGGAGTTACCCGCCAAGCCATTTCCAAGCGATTGCATGCGTTGGGAATGATTCAAAAACAAGGAACTTGGGTTCCTTATGATTTGAAGCCAAGAGACGTTGAGCGTCGTTTTTTCGCATGTGAACAACTGCTCCAGCGGCAAAAAAGGAAGGGTTTTCTTCATCGCATCGTTACGGGTGATGAAAAATGGATTCATTACAGCAACCCAAAGAGAACAAAATCATGGGGACTGCC